GTTAAGCATATTTGATCTTATGCAAGTCCTATTATACAGATCAAACCTGGGAGCAGTGATCCGATAATTTGAATCTTGTTTCTACCATTGTTCATGTACTCACTGACCTCTAGGTGACACTGTCGCTAAAAGTCCCAACTAAACATTTTCGAAATATGATGCCAAGAATTGTCAAGCAAATTCCTGTCTTCATCTCTTCAAACTTAATCTGATGTGGTATGCTTGAAAGACTGAAAGGGATGGAATTTACCTTGGTCAAGGCAACCCATGTGTATTTGACGATTTGGGTCATTTCAGGGATTGAATTAAGTTTCCAAAATAAAATCCTTGTAAACAGATTCTATTTATTATTATTTTTATTTTTTTTCAAATAAGGCTTTTGTTTCAGTCTTTATTTTCATGTATTCATTTTGGGGGTTGTATATGAACATGGTGTCAAATAATGTGGAACTAAGTGTTTAGCCTCTTCCTCCTGAACTTCTCATAATATGGATAAAATGCATGTAGACATGGCCATGTCATTTCATCAGATATAAATGTTTTAACAAGAATTGGGAAATATTTATGAACATGAACTGGAAATGTTTTATCCAATTTGAAATGGGAATATTTTTAATTTTTTATCATGGTGAAATGGGAATTTTTTATCATGGTGAAATGGGAATTTTTTTATCACGGTGAAATGGGAATGTTTTATCAAAGTGAACTTGAACTGGAAATGTTTCTTCAACATAAACTGGGAATGTGTTTATTCCAATTCGGGGGAATTTTGACTGACATTTGCTTCTGACTGGGCTGAACTCTGGCCAGCGAGCAGGTCCAAATAAATCCCTGTATATATATGTATATATATATATATACTCTGATGTGCCTGGGATTAGCCCCTGGCTGCCCTGCACAATCTGGAGCAACTGTGACAGTTGTCTGACCCCCTGTGTCAACATCCACCTGCTGTCACGACCAGGGGTGGGGGGAGGGGGTAAGGGTAAGGTTGGGGATGTTGTGTCTTCAGGCTGACCTATTGTGATTCGAGTCAAGGGTGAATAGGTTCTCATAGCCCCATGATGGATCCTTTTTAAAAGGGTCCTGAATGCATGTTTGTTTCTTGTTGGGATTTCTGGTCAGAATAGGACTCTGATTTGCCTTGTTCTAGTGGATTATAGAGTATTCTGGGATTCATTGGCACTTTTTCTTTCTTTTTTCACGTTTTGTAATTTTTATGGGTTGCTGTCTTAAGTAGCTTTGCAGTCCAGTAAGGCAGACTGGTATGATGTCAAGCTAAGGCAAATTACACAATTGTGATCAATAGCTGTATCATACATTTTGAGTAAACAGTAGCATCACGCGTGAAGTGCAAAATCCTATGATACATGGGAAATAAACAGTTGTATCGCACATCAAATAAATAAACAAACAATTGTATCACATGTGAAATACGTGATTGTATTACATGTCCATCATACATGTGAAACAAACAATTGTATCACACCTAAACAATTAAACAATTGTATAGCAAACAAGAAATGTACAGTTTCACACGTGGAATAAACATGCATATCATAGACATGAAATAACAACTCACAGCCCAACAGAATGGAACATAGTGTTAGGGAAGAGATTATTTTACTTAATCCAAATAAATCATGTTTCCTTCATTGAACATTTTGTCAGCTAAAATTCAGAAATTTCAACAATAATTTAATTCACTGTGCTTTATTAATGAACAGACAATTGTGAAAAAAAGACTAATTAATTTTTGCGGGATGAAACAGTCCACACCATCCAACTGAAGAGTTCAAGTGGATGACTGCCAAATTCCACTCGATTTATCTCTTTTCGGGTAATGAAATTCAGAAAAATTGTATCCGAATAACGATGTCAGATATTTTGGGTCTTGGAAAGGTTAGAGTCTTTGTCTGGCGACGAATTACAACAGCCGCTGCTTTGATCAGGACATAATTGTGGTGTCGGCGCTCCGCCGATGAGTCGCAAATAAACACGATCAACGTGCCCACTGCAGACACCCGCTCCTTGAAATTTGTTATTACGAACATAATCGCAAGATTTTCTTTCCATTATGACTTAATTGTTTCGGAATTGTTCTGCCAAGTTGCTGATCGATCCCAGTGTGTCGTCGGACGCCGGACAATTTGTCCGGAATTCTCAAAATGTAGTTGATTACTTTGCTTGTTAATTGAATCGTAGCCCCAGAGAGATTGGGAAGACTGTGGGGGATTTTTCAATTTTCACCCCACGCCAGTGGACCCTGTCATATTGTGCTTGCTTGATCAGCAAGTCACTCGGCACAACTAATTATTTTAATCATGGTTATTTTTAGGTCAGGACACTGTCATAATTTCCAGTGTCAGTTTCGGCGTTTGGCTGGAGTTTGGGAGATTTTTTTTCAGTGAAACCTTCATGTTTTGTTTAGAGGAATGGAAGTTTTTTTGAGTGTATGGTTCATGATGTGTTTTATATTTTAGTCATGTTGATGGTAGTCATCTGCCAGTGTGAAGAACTAATGGCTTCTGTAAAAACAAAATTAAACAAATATTAACCTTATTCATGCTTCTTTCTTTGGGTTGGAATGGCATGTCATCAGGGACAATTTTTTATTGATATTGCATATATTTCTTAGTAAGTTGTCAGAATACTTGGATATACAGCTATCCCAAAATTGCATTTTAAATCATGTGTTATGAAAGGCCTATGCAAATAATGGCACTTGCATGTTTCCTTACTTCGCAAATAACATAGAAACAGCCATGCAATAATGGCACCTACTTGTTTTCATACTTTCTCTCACTATGTTAATCAAACAAAAGCAGCCTTCAAGTGGCACTACAATGTTGCCATACTTTCTCTAACAGTTAAAATTAAAACAATGTCTATCCTAAAATGGGCCTCCTCGTAGCCATGCTTTTTAGCCCACTGAAGATAAAACCAACAACAATCTGGCATGGCACCACCATGCATCCATACTTTCTCTCACAGTGGACTTTAAAATAACAGCCTTCTCTTGTCAATGTTGGTGTGAACAATTGCCCAGCTTACCAAATAGCCACCCTATATTTCCTTCCATTCTCCGATCTCTTCATTCACTTCCTGTTCAGTGTGTGGCTGGGGGCGAAATGGGTGTTGATGGCACCTTAGAGGTCAGGCCTCGACCTTTCCGGACACATTCCGTGTATGAGATGGCCCTTGTAATCTTGGAGCCATGCCCTCCAGTTGTGCCAATCTCGCCTTTATGAGGTCATTATGGTATCATTGAGCTGCTATCTCGCTACCATAGATTTGATAGCAGCGGTCATCGTATGCCTTGCCATTCATAGCACAGGTTGAAGCCATTATTGTAATGGCTCTTATTGTCAGTATCCTAGTCTGTCAGTTTCCTTAAACGTCTCAGATTTTTGTCACTATTTGGAAACCAGTTTGGTGAAATTATTTAGCACATTTAGCCCCTGAATGGAATACAGATTCTTTTGTGTTTTAAATTTTCCATTTGTGTATAGAAAAGTCAATATTTGACATAGTATTGTAGACTTGCTTGGGAATGTGAGATAGTTGGTGTCAGGATATGTGACATAGTCCAAGAGATAACTGCATATATCTGCATAATAAGAAACGTCCAATTTAAGCACGGAACTGTTTATTCTGGAGCTGAGGCAATCTTGACACGCCAACTCATTCTAGAGCGAGTTGAATTTTTCATTTGTTTTTATTAATAAGTATTTAACATAACTGTGTCATAAAACATCTTTCACTCGCTCAACTGAAGTTTGTGATTTCTGTATTTATCATCGGTTTATGCTATATTTTATAGAAATTTGATTTGAGAGGGTATGTATTCTCTGCAGCTCAAAGTAAGAATGTGTTTTTTAGATTCATCAATGTTTGCCGCTGACTCAGCACATGCATGTTTGTGACAAGAATCCTGATATTTGGGATATATAGAATCCTGATATATATGTTTCGAGATTGGCAGTGATCAGCCTTTAGAAAAGAATATTTACTTGGGGATTTGTTATTTTATAGTTGACTGGTTGCTGTTTGTGGTATATTGTCTTATGTGATGTTGTCTGACATGGTATGATGTTATTGAGTGAGTGAGTTCAGTTTTATGCTGCTTCTAGCAATATTCCAGCGATATCATGGCAGAGGACACCCGAAATGAGCTTGACACATTGTACCCATGTGGGGAATCAAACCCAGGTCTTCAGCTGGAGAAGCTAAAGCTTTAACCACTAGGCTCTTTCTCTCTCACTCACTCACTCACTCACACACGTGATTGAGGCCACAATGGCAGTAGGATTGTTCTACGTTCGGTTGTCCCTGCTCCTTTGTGATTCAGATTGTGTGGAATGGTGCTGACAGGTCCCTTATCATGTTCAGACTGCGTAATTAACGAATTAATGAGCTGGCAGGCAATTTGTAAAAATAGGCATTCATATTTATTTGAAAATATTTGTAATGTTTGTAACTAGAAAAATGTGCACATGAATTACGATGATGTGAATATTTTGAATGCAGGGAATATAGAATTATTGCAAACATATATTTTATGAATACACAATGCCATTAAGAATATGGTCAGATATATGTATGATTCCAAATTTAACGTATAGTTTATAAAGCTGCCAAAGTAATTTTCAAAGAAAGAGGATTTAGTAATTAAGGTGTTAGTGCTTGTGCTGGACAATATATTTGTGTTGTTTTATATGTACAGTATTCTGTTTATTTACAGATGTAACTTGGTGCTTTAATTTGCTCTGTAGAGTTACCTCCCCTAGTCAGGCAGGATCTGCAGATCACTGATTCAGATCCTACATTTGCATAGTTTATGATCCTTCTGTTCAGTAACTAATTCTTATCTGCCTAAATTGAATCTCTTATCTTGAACTAATCCGACATGGCATGATATCACTGAAATACTGTTCAAAGTGGCGTTAAATCCATAAATATTTGTGAACATTTATTATTTAATGTTGTTTTTATTGCAGGAATGGAAGAGGGTGGAAACTGGGGACCTGGCGGTCAGCAGGGTTCTGGATATGAATCTCGAGTAAGTAGACTTTGAATAAGACCAACAGAAAGGTTGATATGGATGATCCACAATACTCTATTAAAGGATAAATCCTTTTTTATGCTCATGTTGTTAAATTATTATTTGTAACATGAAGATACGGGTTAGATTTTGTCTTCAGCAACTTACGCTTGTCGTAAGAGGCGACTAACAGGATGAGGTGGTCTAGCTCGCTGACTTCGTTGACACATGTCATCGTATCACAATTGCCTAGATCGATGCTCATGCTGTTGATCACTGGATTTTCTGGTTCAGGCTTGATTATCCACAGACCGCTGCCATATAGGTGGAATATTGCTAATTGCAGTGTTAAACAACAAACATGCAAGCTTGATTTTCACAGCCCTCTGGGATCATACAACCAGATAGCTGCAGAATTGCTGTTACCATCCCATCCTACTGGGTACCCATTAACTGACAATCATGCCAGTTATGTTACCATAGTAATATTTATAGGTGTTCTTAGACTTCATGGGGCAGTGGGGTAGCCTAATGGTTAAAGCGTTGGCTCGTCACACCGAAGACCCGGGTTCGAATCCCCACATGGGTACTATGTGTGAAGCCCATTTCTGGTGTCCCCACCGTGATGTTGCTGGAATATTGCTAAAAACAGCGTAAAACCAAACTCAGTCAGTCAGTCTTAGACTTCATGGTATGACACATATAGTAATATAACCGAATCAGGTGTTACAAAACTTATTATTTTATCTGATTTAGTTGTGGTAGTAAGAAAGGTATGCTTAACTTATTTTGAGTGGGATAGATAAAGCTGTTGTATAACACAAGGCGGGGACTGATGGTGTTAAGTAGTTCCCTAGCCCAACAGTAGGTCAACATAGCTGAGCAATGATTGTATTCAGATATAGACTGGCCTGAACCTGGGCCTCTGTTACAGTATGGATTATGTAGAAGTTGATATCAGGACGACAGTCAACAACGCTGTTCACTTACGTAACCGTGGATCCGATTGCTCGGATCCATTCTGCTTTTACATACAACACCTTCTTTCCTCTTCTCTCCCCCCCCCCCCCCCTCCCCCCGTAGGTTGGAATGGAATAGTAATCTATCATTTGTTTTTTGGTCAGTAGTTTTCCAACTGAATTACAACTGTCTGTAAATAATCAAATCTGGACCAGACAATCCAGTGATTGACATCATTTGCATTGATTTATGCATATGGGATGTGATGCGTCAATCAAGTCTTGCGAGCCTGACCACCAGAACTTGTTAGTCGCCTCTTATGATAAGCATGGGTTTTTGAATATCGATTCTAACCAGGATTTTCACGGTTACCAGCAACGTATGCTCATTGTACAAAGGGACGGCAGGGTAGCCTCATGGTTAAAGCTTTCGCTCGTCATGCTGAAGACCCAGGTTCGATTCCCCACATGGGTACAATGTGTGAAGCCTGTTTCTGGTGTCCCCCGCCATGAAATTATTGGAATATTGATGGAATATTGCTAAAAGGGGCATAAAACCAAGCTCACTCACTCACTCATTGTACAAGGCAATTAAAAGAATTATGTGGTCAGACATGGTCTTGGTTGATTGCCTTTGTTCATACCCAGGTGACATAGCGAGTTGCTCGTAATATCAACCACTGGGTTGTCACTCACTCACTCACTCACTCTGTACAGCCTGAAAGTTGTTCATGAGATTTCTTTTAATGCCGATGTAATTATTCAGAAGAAAGTTTTTAGTTTTATATCATTGAATGTTAAATTTCTTCAGTGGAATGTTTCTTTACAAATTTATGACAGATTTGGGGGATGGGGATTTGTTTGTTTGTTTTTTGAAGGAATTTGTGTTTTTATTGAGTTACATCTATAGAAAATTTTAATTTAACCCTAACAAGTACATGCTGGCATTTAATGGTTTTGACAGGTATACACGTTATCAGATAAATAATTTATAAAGCGGACCATGATGCACCGTTTTGGAAGTTTGTGTAACATTTGTTTTTGTTTTGGTGAAAGAAAAGGGAAATGTTGATTCCATTTTATAGTGGAACAATAATAAATTCTTGAAGTATTTGTGTTTGGGTAACTCCACTGGCATGAGTAATGATGGAAACTTGGGGACTGCAATCAAAGGGGGGTAACTCTGTCAGGATTATTGTCTCATCTTGCCTGTGGTCTTGCAGTACTGTCTGTTTAGATGTGAATTCAATTTCATTGAATTTGTAGAACCAAAATATGGGTTTGTATATGGAACTTGTTAAATGACTTTATCTCTTACATGGTATTGAAAGAATAAGATATTATTTAACTCCTGTATTGCACAATTCTTTTCTGAAGTCAATTTTGTATGATTCAGATTATGTGAGTTAGAAAGGTGGGGTTTTTAATAAAAATTAGACATACAATTGTGAAATAACAAGGTTCATTAAATTTGAAAAAAATGCTGAAAGCTTTCAATATATTTGTTATTAAGGTGATGTCAACTTGATTGTGGTGTCATCTTGACTGTGACAGGGCTACAGATAACTGTTTGGGTCATTGAGTTATGTTACTCGCCTGTGTTCATCTCAATTGGGTATCTTAATTTTCCTTTGAGTAACCAAATAAATTGTACCCCCACCTCACTCAAACTAAATTGGGTATTTTGCTATTTTCCATTAACTGTAAAAAATATAAAGTTTAAATGTTGGTTTACGTGTTTGTTATTTATATTTGATCGGTAATATGAGAAACAGTAAGAAAGACTGCAAGTTGCCAAGTTCATGTGTTGAAATAGAACCTCTCAATATTCCTCAGTTATTTTATCTATCCACCTGTACGCAAACTAAGATTTGACATTTTTGTGTGTACACGTATAGGATCAAATATATTGAGCATGTACAAAAATTCAAGCCTAAGTGTACGCAATAGACATAATAGGAATTCAGTTTTCGCATAAATATTTGCGTAATTTACGCAGGTGTGCAGCTTGTCTGTACCTCTGTGTGATGTCATCTTGATTCTGATGTCATCTTGGTTGTGGTGTCATATTGATTCTGATGTCATCTTGGTTGTGGTGTCATATTGATTCTGATGTCATCTTGGTTGTGGTGTCACTGTGATTATGGTGTCATCTTGACTATGATGTCGTCTTGATTGTGATGTCATCTTCATTATGGTGTCATCTTGACTGATGTCACCTTGATTTTGATGTCTTGACTGTGATGTCACCTTGATTGAGATGTCATCTTCATTATGGTGTCATCTTGACTGATGTCACCTTGATTGAGATGTCATCTTCATTTTATGGTGTCATCTTGACTGATGTCACCTTGATTGAGATGTCATCTTCATTATGTGATGTCATCTTGATTTTGATGTCATCTTGATTGTGATGTCAGTGTAATTATGATGTCATCTTGATTGTGGTGTTATCTTGATTGTGGTGTTATCTTGATTGTGATGTCAGTGTAATTATGATGTCATCTTGATTGTGATGTCAGTGTAATTATGATGTCATCTTGATTGTAATTATGTGTCCTTGTTTTCAGATGTATGATGGACAAAATTATAATGGTCAACACAGTGGAGAAAATATGCCTTTTATGAATAACAGTGATATGCCGACATTGATGAGTGAGTATAAACACGGTTTAAATTTGTGTCGTTTATAGGTTCCTGTTTGCTAAGATCTTAACTTGATCTTACTTCTTCCTACGTAAAACTGACATGCTGTCACTAACTAAGATCCGTGAAGATCTGGGTTAGAATTGATCTTCAGCAACCCATGTTTGTCGTAAGAGGCAACTAACGGGATCAGGTGGTCAGGCTCGCAGATCGATGGTCATGCCATTAATCACTGGATTGTGTGGTCCAGACTCGATTACTTACAGACCGCCGCCATATAGGTGGAATATTTCTGTGTGCGGCGTTAAACGACAACTAAAATTCTATTGAAATGGGCAAACTCATTCATTACAGAGAGTAACAGCTTATAAGTGTTTTATCGATTAGCTTTTCGTTTTTTTAATTGTGGATGGTTTTAATATGACTGAATTGCTGTTGTCTTAGTTACCTCACTCAATATATTTTTTCAGACAAGAGTTCAGATTATCGGTCTAGTTATTCGTCCCGAGAAGGCCCAGTACAACAGGTAAGAGAATTATGAATAATTAAATCCTGTCCAGCATATACTATTGGTTTTGTAGCCTTACAAACAGCAGTGTCTGCCAATCAACAATAAATAGGCTAGTAGGTGGTTGAATCATTAGCTTGTCTGTCCAACATGGGTTTGAATCCAGTTATTGTAAGGTGTACAAACCATTCTCATGATATGATATGAGAAGATTTATGGTAAGATGATGGTTATGAAACCTTATCAGCCACACACATGTATGTTGTTATGTATATCCAATAATTTTTAATGTGATATTAAACCCTGTTTCACCTAACCTCATACCTGTAACACTCTGAGCTGTATTCTTAGGTGACAGACTGGTGTAGCGTTAAAACGTTCACTTGTCATGCCGAAGACCCAGGTTTGATTCCCCACATGGATGCTTGTGATATTGCTGGAATATTGCTAAAAGCGACATAAAACTATACTCACTCACTCACTCTTAGGTGACAGACTGTGGTGTAGCCTGATGGTTAAAGCGTTCAATTGTCATGATCAAGACCCGGGTTTGATTCCCCACATGGGTGCAATGTGTGAAGCCCATCGGTGTGTCCCCACCGTGATATTGCTGGAATATTGCTAAAAGCGACTTTAAAGCCTCCTCACTCACTCACTTAACCTGACACAAAATTACTGAAATATTGTTCCATCTCGCTCGTTGGTTTGGTTGTGGTTCAGTCATAAAACCACATTCCCGGCCAAGGAAGACAAATTGCTCGGATATAATTATATCCAATATTTTTATACAGTTATCTTTAGAAATATTGTGCTTTTTTGTCCATAATCATCGTAGGGATTAGCAGCGGATAGTTCCCTACTGTGTGTATTCTATAACTACTATCAGTTCGGGCCCTGATGAGGTGATTCATCTTCTATTAAGCCTGAAACCTACTGATCCTCGTGGAAGAAAATGACAAAATGTTTTTTTCTTGGAATCGGAGTACACCACATGTGACTACCGCTTACCTTGTCGCAGCGTTTGAAGTAGCTTTATGCGGACGTATATTCCCCTGCACTTAAATACTTTTGCTGTACTTTGCTAAGAGTAACATAGCTACTTTGGAATCTTTGACGCAGAGACGGGAAAAAACATTATAGGACTAATTGGCTTAACCACTTGGATGATTTGAGGAAAATGTCCTCCTTTACCCATATGTCATTTTGTAGAATTAGCCGAGTCCGTTTTCATTTTTCGTTGTATTTACTGGAGAAATGGGGGCCTCAGATGGCAAATGTGTATACCTGCCTTTTAGCGCGAGTCCTGCGGCACTATTAGACGTACACGCGCTACTACTCACTGCTCTAATTGCTCTGCCCGTTCTATGTATGCGTTCAAGTTTTGGGCGCAGGTGTTAAACCCGGCTTGAAGCACGGTATAATTACGTAGGCAGACAACAGCGTCGGGAAAGAGAAACGGCCATAACTGTAGCAGAAATTTTTTGACGGGATCCCAGTTGTGGAGAATCCCAAAGGGAGTAATTAATGATATTCGTTTGGTTTGGGACTACGTTGTGGTATGGCTGAGGCGGAAGGATACGATGTTTCACTTCCTTTGTGATTTTGGGATATGTCGACTCGGGACATTTCAGATAAATTAGTTGTCGCGTCAAGTGACTAGATTCCGGCTAATTAGTGTACGGGATGGCGGACTGAAGAGCTCTGATCTTAAAATTTATAAGAAAATATTTGTTAAAGGAGAAATGGGTTTTTCAATCCAAGAATCACAAAGTTAGGAGCAATGGTTGCTTGTCATTAATCTGATCAAGAGGAAGGTTTGATCTCAGGGTTTAAAGAACATATCGGTTGTGTTTGGTGTCTATTCTTAAAGGGGAGAAATACGACAGAAAAAGAAGTAATATGCCCAGCATAGTACTACTGTGGAGAGGACAAAGACAGTAGTGCCCTTTTCATCTCTGGGCTTTGTTGCAATAAGGGTGCAAGAGTAGTCTCCCTTAGACAGCTTGCTGGGAAACCTGATTTGCTTGCTGTTTGATGATAGATGGGTTTTTTTTCGTGAGATTATTCAGTGTTTGTTCAGTTTGCACTTTTACTGTATTAAAACGTCCCCTTGAGACTTGTCATATATCTTAGAAAATTTCAATGGGTAATTATATTCATCAAGTCCTTGACAGCTAATTCAAAGGAATAAAAACAAATGGAATATTTATTCAGTCTGCAGCCTGTTTTTAGATTTTAAAAATATCGTCTCAAGTTTTGCCATATTTGACGAAGGCTTCTAATTATGAAAGTAATTGTAGGAATCAAGTCAATAACAACAAATTCTGCAGTAAATAAACAACAAACAAAATTTTGTCTATAATCAGGCTAATGAAATGTGCTGTTCGACAAAAAATGAAAATTGGTGGAAAAAGCGTGAACATGTTTTCCTAATTTGTAACCCACAACGTCAAACATGTGTCAGTCAATGCTCGGAACACAGCCCCACCCACAGGGAATATGTAAATTAGGGGGGTGTGGCAAGCACATGTTGGGGGACAAGCACATGTGGTTTTAATTGATAAATATTTTTGGTTACTGATCTGTACGATGTGTGTTAGTTAGGGGAAAGTTAAGCACCACTACATGTCTCGTCTCAGGAGGGTTGCTGGTTATCGAGAAGTGTTCGACCAAGTTGCCACGATTCCTTCCCTCTTTATCCAACCAACTGTCTGGCTCTGCACCAGGGGTTGCCATTATCGATGAAGCGGAAGATTTCTTTGCGATCTTGATCTCTATTTTGGTCACAGCTCTTTTTGCGTATTAGAACTCCGAGTTCTTTCAAACTGTTCAGGATACAAGACAGAGTAGGATTTGTTCCGTGGATGTTTTCAGGATTTTGAGTGATACCAATCTGAAGAAGGAACAGGATGATATACAAGCGACACTAGTTTTTCTCTTTTTGTTACTTTATTACTGTGAATGTTGACATTCCTTGCCAAGATATCAGAGCCTTTCGGACCATCTTGAGGCCAGATTGTTTACTATTCTTGTAGGATTGATTCTTGATTCATTGTGTTGAAGGGTTGTTCTACCCACAAGTTTTCAGTGACAAGTTGAGAATCAACAGTGGTTTTTCAAACATTCGGCTGTGGTATATTTCTGATATCGTCATCCCCTTGCGAGGATATAACGGTTTACACAGCGAGGGAATTATGACGATTGTTCTTCCTTGGTGACAATTTGATGCTTGTAAATTAATTGGTGATATTTTCTTGTAATGGAGTAATTGGTCGTATCCATCCATCATGTATTCCTACCCTGGATATTACGCGAGTCGGTACTACATGGGCCACCCGATGTTCCTGTCTCAGGTAAAGATATTGTTAATTGCAATAAAGGTAGGACATTCCTATACAGGTAGGACAATATCATACAGGGAGGCCAATGCTTTGCTGGTATGATAATGCTATATCGATATGACAATGTTTATAGGTAGGACAATATTTTTCAGGTATGTGAATACGCTATAGGTAGGACAATACTAGATAGGTATGACAATATTTATAGGTATTGCAATATTGTTCAGGTATTTGAATATGCTATAGGTATGACAATACTCGATAGGAATGACAATAATTTTCAGGTATGTGAATACGATATAGGTATGACAATACTAGATAGGTATGACAATATTTTGTAGGTAAGTGAAAACTGGACAGGTATGACAACACTACGTAGGTGTTATCGCTGTTAGGAAGTGGCATTGTCCGACACAGTTGAATATAAATCAAATTGATATACCAGGAAGGGAGATCAATGGATACACGGCATCCACACTGTTGAAATTTCAACTAATTACTGGTCAATTTCAAGTTTGTTTAGAATAATTCAAATATAAAGCTATTGCTGATTAAATTCCTGTATTTTTCAATTGTTGAATATTTTTGGAATTTCTCGATTATGGATTTCTTTTGGATTGATTTGATTGGTTGATTGATTTGATTGGTTGATTGATATGTGGTATTACGGTGGCATGAGGGTTGAAATACATAGCTCATAATAAAATAGTTGGGAATGAATGAATGTTAAATATGGGCTTACTCTGTTTGCAATAAATATATTCTTGTTAGTTTGTATTGTGGAGAATCTTTTGAAAAGGATTGTTTGTTGTTTAATGCCACCCACAGCAATATACCAGCTGTACATTAGCAGTCTGTAAATAATCAAGTCTGGATCAGACAATCCAAAAGAGAAACAGTTGTTTGGGAAACAGTTGGTCTGTTTGTGCTAATAAATCATAATGTGCTAATAAATCATAATGTCCGCCTCAACATTACCATGCTCTTGTTGCAAACTATGGACTCGAATTTAGATACATTTCATCATTAAGACAGAAACTTTTGTTATTTGCAATTTGATTTTCTTTTGATTAAAAAAATCTTGTCTCAGCTGTAGAATCTTGCCGCAGATGTGGAGATCCTGACCTTGTCCTTATCTGATTTCAAATTGTGGGACCGTTTCCGACAGTCACCTTGTCTGTACATGGCTATGGTTGCAAACAGTGGACATGTCAGTCAAGTTTGACATGTCCGAAGTAGTGTTGGAAATAGGCACATGTTATGTCTGGTATGGACAGCAATACCCATGAGTATGTGTCCGTAAAAGATTAGGAGACACAGCTGATGTTCAGAATGTCTACCTAATGTTTAATCATAAGAAGCAGTGGTTAAATCCAGAATATTTATTCTGAACATTTTTGTTCCTCTGTAAAGTCACATTTATCTTTTTCATTTTGTGTAGTCACTGTAATCATTGTAATATCTCCCGGATATGGACTATTACAAGTTGTTTGAGAAGTGAAATAAGGGATGATGGAACTGTGATTTTGTGATATTCAGAGGACATTAAACGTGAATGGACTACTAAACAAATTAATATTTTTTTCTTAACATAGTTTTTGCAGTATTTAACAACCAAGTTGTGTTAAACATCATTTAATATGTAAATTGGACAGTATGTTGACTTCAGGTACTGAG